AGACGGTCTTTCCTCCCTAGAGGATTCTGGGGAAAAGGAGAATTATCTAGTAAAGCCAGTTTGGGAAATCAAAGCCTGCTGTTCTTTGGTGAAGTTGTGGAGCAATCAGGCATCCCGAGCCACCAGTTTCTATCACTTCCAGTGCTTGGGCTGTCCAGTACTCCAGTGGAGTGGCCATGGACCCTCCAGTTACCCTGAGGGTCACATAGCTTTCAGCCCGAGTTCCCTGGGAAAACCATGACAAAGAAAGAAAAGGGCATCTGGGTAGTGTCTGGCTTCACCTTAGCTGTTGGAGAAGGTGGCTGAATTAGGTACAGACAAAGAACTGTGAGCTGGCCGGCTGTGTCAGATTCGCTAGCTTCCACAAGAGTTCAAATAAAACATTCAAATAAAAAAAGGAAAGAAATATAAAAAGAGCAGAGATCTTCCAAGACTGGAGGTTGCCCTCTTGACCAAAGCTGGATCAGAGTGAGAAAGAAGGTATGTCCTCCTACTATAGGAAGCTACATCAGAACTTTTTCTAGACCGGCCTCCAGAAAAAGTGGAAAGGAGATATTCCCCTGTAAAATGCTCTGTGTCTGCCGTAGAAAATCAACAGAATGACAGGAACAATCACCACACACTGATCCCTAAACAAAGCATGAAAGAATCTGAAAGTCAGCAGAAAACAGAAAATCTAGGCCAGTGATGGCGAACCTTTTAGAGACCGAGTGCCCAAACTGCCACCCAAAACCCACTTATGTATCGTCGGGTGACAGGTGGGCATGGCCCGTTGGGTGGGCGCAGCCCATTGGGTGAGCATGGCTTCGGTGGTAACAGCAGACTGGGCGGGACAAAAAAATTAAATCAATCATTTCCAACTTTGCGAGATCTTTTTTTTCCCCATGAGAAGTTGAAATTGATTGATTGATTGAACCTTTTTTTTTTTTGCACATGGCGACGGAGGCTTAAAGCGAAAAGGTTTTATAAAACCCAGCTGAAGGCCTATGACTGAGGAAATGGTGCATGTGCTCACAGAAAGGGCTCAGCGTGCCACCTGTGGCACCTATGCCATAGGTTCGCCACCACGGATCTAGGCAAAAGAGTATTTCCTACCAGCTCATAAGCTTATTATTCAGTAATAAGAGCAGCAAATTTAGAAGAGTTTCTTGCCAAGTCAAGGTAAAAGGCGATATAGAAGAAGTTAGCAATAGAACAGAATAATAGCTTTATCGTCACTTTGAATGTACATTAATCGGCATACATTATCACAAAATAATTTGGACGGCCCAGCAACCCAAACGGTCTCATCTCTTAGACCAGTGTTTCCCAAACTTGACAATTTTAAGGCATGTGGGCTTCAACTCCCAGAATTCCACAGCCAGCGTTGCTGGCTGTGGAATTCTGGGAGTTGAAGTCCACATGCCTTAAAATTGTCAAGTTTGTGAAACACTGTCTTAGACAACCCTCCGCCCAGGAATATGAGCATCTTCCCTTTCTAACGACAAGAAACATCCCTCCATAGTATCCATATTAGGTTTCTATTTCCATATCACAAGAAAAAAATATTTTGATATTGTAGATCTTTCCATAGTATTATACTTTAAAAAAGCCCAACAAGTTGAACAAGACTGTTCAAAGTTACAACAGCACTGAAATAAATAATTTGTGACCGGCTTCCACTCTCAGAACCATTTCAGCATCCCCAAGGTTATATGAGCAAAATTTGGAAGCTCGACAAATTCGCCCTGAGATCATGTGATCACCTTAACAGCTGGCTTCCAACACAGAAAGTCAACAGAGGAAGCCAGATATGCTGAACGACTGCACGATTCACTTAACCAGCAATTTGCTTAATAACTGTTGCAAAAAAAAAAAAAAATCGTAAAATGGGGCGCAGCTCATTTAACAACTGCCTTGCTTAGCAATGGAAATTTTGGGGCTAAATTGATGACCTGTACTCAGCTAGGAAAGCAGCATTCTTTCTCTAGGAAACAATAAAATTTTCAGTTTAGTGCGATCATGGGGGCTTCCCCAAAAGAAAATAATTTTGTTTACAGTTCTGCTTCACAATCTCTATAAATGCTTTCACAGTGACTTGCTTCAACTGTTTTCAAATCCTTAATTATTCAGAGGCATAGGAAAAAAAATAAAAAATCCAATCTGATCAAAGTAGTCTAATGCCTTGCCACACTTGACTGCTATGAGGAAAAAGCAGGAGAAGTAGCTAATTACAGAATCCTTCCTGTTAGATGAAACAGTCCAAGAGAAAGAATAGCAAATGCTGCATTATGAAAGGAATTAGGGGGTACACTATCCCTGTTTTTTATCCAAGCAAAGACCTTGTGGTACAGGTTGTCCTTGACTTACAACCATTCATTTACTAGCTCTTCAAAGTTACAACAGCACTGAAAAATGTGACTTATGACACCTTTTCACACGTACGATCATCACAGCACCATGTGATCAAACTTCAGACGCTTGGCAGCTAGTTCATATTTATGACAATTGCAACGTTCCGGGCAGGTCATGTGGTCCCCTTTTGTAGCCTTCTGACAAGCAAAGTCAGATTCACTTCACAACCGTATTACTAACTTAACAACTTCAGTGATTCACTTATCAACTGCAGCAAGAAAGGTCATAAAATGGGCCAAAACTCACTTAACAACTGTCCCACTTAGCAATAGAAATTTTGAGCTCAATTGTGGTTGTAAGTCAAGGACTACTTGTACACGTTTCAGAAGACTAGGGTATGAGATGAACCCACCTTAAAATGTGACTCATTCCTTCACCAAATAGGAGAGCTCAGTTGCATTGGGACAGTAGCTCATCAAACCCTGCATTTTATGTCACATTATGGTCAACCAACTGCACCAACAAAAAAGAAGAGTTGTCCTCAACTGTTGTTTCTCAACTGTTGTTAATCAACTCACACCATCTTTGGAAGAGAGAGACAACAAGGCTATAACTATCAATGGCCATGGTTCCTTTCAAGCCTTCTAACCTAATGGCCTTCAGCAAGTCAAATTCAGTGTTAATCAGAATAATGAAAAACAAAGGCATCGTATACACAGGAAAACCGCCATTTTGTTCAACCCAGAATGAATTATCCCATTCTCGAGGCAGCTTCACACTAGTAAAATGTCATCTTCCTTGAACTGGACACGGTGCATGACCTTCTTCTAAAGAGGACAGCTTATGAATTCAAATACCAGCACTGAAGTGTCAGAGGGGGAGGGGGACAACTACAATCTATTGTAACTTACTACCAAGAAGGAACGGCTGCACAATCATGAAAAACTGTTCCAATCCAGGAACAGAGAATAAGAGGGAGTAGCATTTCAGCCTATCCCGGAGTACTTCATCTATTTTCAAAAATCACCAATTTGGTTCTCTTCACCTAAGGTTTTTTTTTAAAGACATAACTATGAGTAAAAAAATGAACAGAATTGCTATTTCTCTAATACAGGTCCCCGACTTACAACAGTTCATTTTGTGACCATTCAAAATTACAACAGCATTGAAAAATGTGCCTTATGACCATTTTTCGCACTTATGACCTTTGCCGCCTCCCCATGGTCACGGGATCAAAATTCAGACACTTCGCAAGTGTCTCGTATTTGTGATAGTTACAGTGTCCCAAGATCTTGTGAACCCCTTTTGCGACCTTCTGATAAGCAAAGTCAATGGGGAAGCCAGATTCACTTAACAGCCAGGTTATTAATTTTATCAACTGCAGTGATTCGCTTAACAACTGTGGCAAGAAAGGTCGTAAAATGGGGCAAAATTCGACCCATTTCTCACTGAGCAACATAAATTTTGGGCCCAATTGTGGTCGTTAAGTTGAGGACTACCTGTAGAAGGAACAGCGGACAAGGCCCAAAGAGGCTCTCTCTCATTGCCTCTTTAACCATGTACGGAACTGAGATCATCAGGCTGAAAGCGAAACCAGAATAATCTTATGATATAAACAGGCCGAACCGCAGCCATTCATTCTCACGTGAAGCTTGCCAGCCTGCAGCAATCAGCACTGCCAGCCAAGCTGCTCCATCAACCCCTAGAAGCAAGCAAGGTCGCTAAGAAAGTAAGTTGGGGACCTGACAGGCTTCTTCAGCTCAGAAGCAAGATGCCCCCCCCAACTACCACCCTCGGGTCAGGGACCCCAAAAGGAAGAGCAACCCAGTACAGGTAGCCCTCAACTTACAACCACCACTGAGCTTCAAGTTTATGTTGTTAAGCGAAGCATTTGTTAAGTGCATTTTGCCCTATTTTACATCACTCCTTGCCACACAGTTGTGAAGTGGATCTGTCTTCCCCACCGAGTTTGCTTCTTAAAAGGTCACAAAAGAGGATCACATGAGCAACTGTCATAAAGATGAGTCAGTTGACAAGCATCTGAATTTTGATCACGTGACCAGAAGGATGCTGCAACGGTCCTAAGTGTGAAAAGCCATCATAAGTCACTTAGTTCAGTGCTCTCGTAGCTTTGGACGGTCACTAAATGAACCGTTGTAAGTCGAGGACTAACTGTACTTTCCCAGAGCTCTTCCCAGAAACCGACTTAGGGAAGAACTCCCTAAAAATCTCTGCAGAGGCCAAGCCGCCCAGTCTGCTCTTTTCCTCCGGCAGGAAGATCCCCAAATGAGCCTAGAGGGGAAGAGACCACGGAAAAGGCAGATTCACGATCTCCGGCTTGGATCACCGCGGGGTCTCCCGTCCCCATGCCTCGACGTTCCCCAACGAGGGCAACGACAACTCCCATTTCCCCATCACCGGGGGGGGGGATTCTTCCCCTCTAGGAAACCCTCAGCCCGGCCTGTTCCGGCTCCCTAACCCCGGGAGATGGGTCGGGCAGCATCCCCAGCCAGCGCGGCCTTCTCTCCTCCGCTCCCCTCTCCCTCACTCAGCCAGGACGGCGAGACCATAGAGCTCCCTCGGCCAGACTGCCGGGCTCGAGCTGTGGAGCCCGGAGGGTTCGCGAGGGCCGGCCGCAGCTTCCATCCCCGCCGGCGGTGGATTACCTGTCGCCCGGCGCGTCCCCCGTCCTGCGGTGCGGACGTGCGCACGCGCACACGCCTCTCCGGCCGCAAGCCCCCTGGCGAGACTCGTTGACACTCCCCGAGGCGGAAGTGCGACCCACCGCCACCCCCTCCTCGCTCAACGTCCCCCGCTTGACAGACACGCCAGGCCGTCCAATCGTCAGCGACGGAGCGCCGTGACGTTCGAAGGACCCCACCCTCCGCTCCCCCGGGCGGGCCGTCTCGCTCTCCTCCCGCAAGCGGGCCAATGGACCGCGAGGGAAGGGAAAGGGCGGGGACTATGCTAATCAGAAGCCTGGGGCACCGGAGTTCCTCCCGGGCTTTCGCGCATTCTCGTTGGACTCGACCTCATGCAGGGCTGCTCGACCAATGGCGTTCTTCGAAAGGGGCGAGGCCATGCAAATGAGATGGAGAAAGTAATCCTGTCGAGCCACTCTTGGCGCGTCACAGCCTTCGGGCGTCCGATGGCAGAAACGGGTAGCCGGAATGCGGTTGTACAGCTTGCGATCCCCGAAGGCTTTTGGTGAAGAAAGCAGGCGCTGTGCTCCCTTGCAGGCGTTCACTTGATTGTTGATGTTCGATCTCCATGATCAGATAGGCATCTTGTGGTTTACAGAAGCGCTTCCTCCATCAGGAATGCGCCAAGTGTGTTAGTTAGGACCACAACTCCCAGAATCCCTTGCTGATATGTCTCAGTCATCCAGGTTATGGTTGTCCCAAAGGTGCGTTTTCAGGAGGCAACTGGACCTTCTTGGTTTTTCTTTCAAAACGTTTAACTCAGTGGTTCTCAACCTTTTTAATGCCGTGACCCCCAACTGGTTGTAAGTCGAGGACTACTTAACTGGTGCAGCACCATTTGCAGAATGGGACTTTTGGCGGGCTCAGCAGGGCAGAGACAGCCTGGACAATTCCTATTGGCTTTTGAAAGCCAATAGAATTAGACTCTATTCAAGAGAGTCTATTCTATTGGCTTTCAAAAGCCAATAGAATAAAAGGGAGTAGCACAGCTAAGGAAAAGGGGGAAAAAAATGGCAGACTGCGTTGGTTGGCGACCCTCGTGAAATGGTCGTTCAACCCCAAATGAGGTCCCGACCCACAGGTTGAGAACCACTGGTTTAGCTTGTCATTCAAGAAACTTCTTCAGTTCTGACTGGATTTGGGGGGGGGGGGAATAGAAGGATTTATATTCCTTTGCTAAGGTGACCAACTTTTTTACAATGAAAAGGAGGACACAAATAAATTGAAGAAAAAAAATATCGTAAATAAAAGAAACATTTTATTCATTACAACAATAATACAGAATACACTATAATATGATAAATGCATAATAAAAAACATTTCTAACAATAACATTTTATATTGTAATTATGCTTACATGCTGCGCCCCCGTCCGCATCCGTCGTGCCAGCACTGCTACCCTGCTGTGTAGAGTGGCCCTGTGGCTCCCAAAGCACCAGCTGCGCTGGCTCTGGCCCCGGGGGACAGCCTGCCGTTGACAGACCCCACCTGCAGCCACCCTGCCAGCACCACCACCCACCCTGCGCAGCCCCTTGTAGAGCAGGCACCATGGCTCCACAGCACGGGGGGGGGGCAGCCAGCCACCGCCACCCCTCACACCCCTGCCCGCAGCAGTCTCGCTGCCCCTGCCTCTTGCGCCCGTAGCCATTATTGCCCTAGCAGGGCTGAAGATCAAGAGAACGGTTACTGTGGCATCGCTGCTCCAGTCTCCTCCAGGTATCTTCAGGACTAACTAGGAAATGGTGTAGTTGGGTAGCAGGGAGGGGTGCAAAGTTCCTGCCAATTCGCCTTCGCTGCAGACAACTTACATGTGCAAAGTTTGCCAGATGGGTGTTTTGGCGCGCTCAGCAACAATTCCTATTGGCTTTCAAAAGCCAATAGGGGGAATAGCACAGCTCATGCAAAAGTTGAAAAAAAAACATCAAAAAAAGTTGCCGGAATGCCGTTCTGAGCGTTCTATGAGAAAAAAAACACTCTGCAGATTAGTCTTCAAATATCGAAAAGGAGGACATGTAAGAGGACACTTTTCAAGGGAGGACAGAACTCACAAAAGGAGGACTGTCCTCCCTAAAGGAGGACGGTTGGTCACCTTATCTTTGCAGTCATCTGCTCATTAGCACTCTCTCTGAGAGCCCTTGAGGGTGCTAATGACCCGATATCTGCAAAGGAATATAATCCCTTTCTCACCTACCCCCCCCCTCATCCAGTCAGAACTGAAGAAGCTTCTTGGATGAGAAGCAAAATGTCTTCAAAGAAAAGCAAGAAAGTCCAGTGGCCTCCTGAAAAAACACCTTTAGGACCTTGCTAGCATGGCTGTTGATTGTGAGAGCTATATTTCTGACACATTTGAAAGGTATCACATTGGAGGGGGGGAACTGAAAAGGACTGGGAAGCTGTCCTTGCTCCTTTGAATTTGCAGAAAGAAATACAATTCTCCAACTGTAGTTCATTGCCCTAGTGCAGTGGTGGCGAACCTTTTAGAGACCGAGGGCCTGAACTGCAACCCCAAATCCACTTATGTATCGCCAAGTGCCAGGTGGGCGTGGCCCACTGGGTGGGCGTGGCTGTGGTAGTCATGACAGACTGGGTAGGTGTGGCCAAGGTAGGCGTGGTCACCTCGATGTTGCTCGTGGGGAAGGATGCCTGTGGGGACCGGGCAGGATTGGGGGAGATCCAGGGGGTCTCTGGCAGGTGGGGCAGTGGGCAGGAGGCTCGTCCTGCGGGGTGAGGCGAGGCAAGCAAGGCAGGGTGGGGGTGCCATTGTTGCAAGGCAAGGCGAGGCAGAGGCCAGGGCAGCTGCTGCCTGACACCATCGGCCCCCACACACAGAGGCCAGCCAGCTCATGGGGGCTGACAGTGTCTGTCAGCAGTCACAGCCTGCCAGCCCCTCAACTGGCACACTCTGGGGCTCCACAGCCCACCACCAGCAATTCAGAGAAGCCGCTTCTGAGCTGGACGGCCAGCCGACAACAGAGGGGGTGATGCAGTGGGTCGTGCCCAGGAAAAGGAGAGCATGCAAGGCCAGGAGGGATGGGATGGGGGGGAGGGAAACCAGCCATGCTGGGATGCATCTGGCTACGTGGGACCTCGGTGAGTTAGTGGGCAGCGGATTGAAAAGGGATGGTTGCCATCTCCGGGGCATGGTGCATGTGCCCACAGAGAGGGCTCTGAGTGCCACCTCTAGCACGTGTGCCATAGGTTCGCCACCATTGCCCTAGTGAGTTTAGATTGAGCTACACAGCACTGTTTTGCAAATGTAACATTTGATTGCAAGAAAATTCTTATATATCCATAAAGGAGAATATTTGTAGGTCAGCGTTGAATTGTGGGGTCCTCAGTGCTCTCTGAGCCTGGTTATTTTCTTGCAGCTGGGTGCATACATAGTCCTCGATTTATGTCCACAATTGAGCCCAAAATTTATGTTGCTAAGTGAGACATCTGTTAAGTGAGTTTTTTCCTCTTTTTTCGACTTCTCTTGCCACAGTTGTTAAGTGAATCACTGCAATAAGTTAAGTTAGTAACACAGTTATTAAGCGAATCTGACTTCCCCACTGAGTTCACTTGTCAGAAGGTCGCAAAAGGAGATCACATGACCTGAAGGCACTGCAACCGTCATAAATCTGAACAAGTTGCCAAGCATCCAAATTTGGATCACGTGACTATGGGCATGCTGCAACAGAACGACTGTGTGAAAACAGTCATAAGTCACTTTTTCAGGGTAACTTTGAATGGTCACTAAATGAATGTCGAGGGCTACCTGTAATATGATCAATGCTTGTAAGGGAGTAGGATTTGCTCTCATTTTATGTACTGTATATATTGTTGCAGTCCTCAGTCACCAAATGGGACTTTGCATCGTGTGTAGGCCCAGCCATTCCACCTTACGTTTTAAATGATGATTGAAGATGTCCTTGGCTTACCGCAGTGTTTCAATGCAGCCATTGAGAAGCCTAGATGGGATTCCCTTCAGAGCAATTCCAGAGAATTGGTGCTTTTACTTACACTCACCTATTAACTCTGTCCAATGATAGGAGAAAAACAGCAGGTTTGATTGTTTGCTTGCAGACATTTTATTACCCAGCTAGGTAACATCAGCAGTGCATTTATTGAAAATTTTTAAATTTTACAAAACAATACAGTTCCCTTCCCCAAGCCCCCGCAACCCCCCCCCATACCCTCCCCCGACCCTCCCAGAGTTGAATACAGGCTTAATTAAATTTTTTCCAAAAAATCTTAAAAGATATAAACCATTAACAAGTCTAAATACATTAATTAAACCAATTTATGAAATAGTTAACAATAATATATATATAAAAAGACAAAAATACAAGAAAATACAAAAAAATAGGAAGAAAGGAAAAAGAAAAAAGAAAAGGAAAGTCTATAAAATCTATAAAATATCTTAAATTTTAAATATAAGTTATTGAAAAGCTAAATAATATTTTTTTATGTCCAACTTATGTTGTATAAAGTCTATCCATTTTTTCCATACCAAAAAATACTTCTCTTGCGGTTGGTGTTTTAAGAAAGCCGAAATCTTTGCCATTTCCGCCAAATAAGAAACTTTAAAAAACCACTCTTGCAAGGTAGGCAAAGATTCCTTCTTCCAACATTGCCCTACTAACAACCTTGCCGCTGTAAACATCAGCAGTGCATTTATCATCATTAGCACTGATAATATTATGTAGTTGGGTAATGAAATGTCTGCAAACAAACAGCCAAGTTCAGGGGTAGGCAACCTTGGCTCTTTTATGACTCGTGGACTTCAATTCCCAGAATTCCTGAGCCAGCTGGCTCAGGAATTCTGGGATTTGAAGTCCACGAGTCATAAAAGAGCCAAAGTTGCCTACCCCTGGCCAACTTCAAAGAGCACTGAAGACTCCATAGTTCAACCCTACAGATACTCACTTCTATTGGTAATCTTTAAAGAAAATATGTTTAGACTTTTAAAGGATTGCTATCATAATTTGGAAATAAAACATGCTATGGCTGCAGACAGCAGAAAAATACAGAAACTACAGTGATTTAACGATGGCCAAAACTTTTACAGCCCCATTTAAAGGTTGTTACCAGCATTTTTGTCTCACAATTAGAACTGTGAACAAATAACAAACTGGGAC